TTTCCTTATGTTGTTTATAATAGAAAAAATCATTTAAACTTTTTGTTTGCAGTTCTTGTAGTCTAGTTTTGCTCCTTTTATTTTCTTAAATCCAGGATTTATTATTATTTTCAAAAAATAATAAAAAACTGGAACTGCAAAGCAGTTATGACCGGGGTCTAAGCCCGTTAATGCATGTCGACTTAGGCTCATGTTGTCCCCAGCACCCTTGTTGACTTGATCGATTTATTTCACAAGTTAGTCATTGTTTCTGTCTGCCCAGTTAGGACTCCAATGAATGTACTTAAAGTTTTCATTTTCAGGCCATAGAGAGCTTTCCAAACGTGCCTGAGAGCAACAGTTGTTTTTGACCATTTTCCTGGTACACACAGCCTGGTGAAGACCCAAAACCCTGGTCCCCATTAGGGTAAATACTGTTGTTGGTTCAGGGGTTTGATATAGGGCTAAGGCTGGACACAATCCAGCCACAATCTTATAAAATGTGTAGATTACGAAGAGCATAGTGTGGTTGCCATTTAGTGTGAAGGGGAATTACTTCTAAAAGGCATACATAAAAATCTACAATGGTTTCAAGAAATGTAATACAAGCAAAAAAAATCAGTATGCAAACAGAAAAATACAGTAATAACTTTTCACATTTTTTCATATAAAGACTTCCCACCAAATTGTTTTGGACCTTGTCTGCAAAGATGAATCTTTTATTTCAAGCCTCTTATAGTCACTTGCAAAAGCAACAACTGAATCAACCAAGTCCCAAGACAATATGCACATACACACATCTCTTTCTAACTACCTTAGTCCAAATCACATCAGGGTGGGGAAAAAAGGGTTCCAGGTAAAAGTGTTTCTTTGACAGGGGCTTAAGTTAGCCAACAAAAGATAGAGAATTAGATTTATTTGCAGTTTTGTTTGTGATATAGCATGTAGATTTACATGGACTACTGTTTCAGTTCATGTTTGTAACACAAGTTTACAGTAAATCTCTATAAAAGAAATAATCTGTAAACTGGAATCATTATTTAAAAATTGTTCATATATAAGAGGAAAATAGGGAGATTTGCAACTTTTCAGTCCACCAGGACAATTTAATTTGAACTGGAAATAAAAACTGAACTAATGAGTAATACTAGAAACAATAATTAATACAAATAATTTATAATAATAATACTAAATACAGACCAAGGGCTCTTTGGTTTTGACCAGGCTGACAATTTTGACAGAATCTTCTTCATCCTCCATTGCATCATCAGGTATGGGTGGCAAGGTGGGCTCAAAGTTTCTTTGAGCCACAGTGTCGTGGACACGCAAGAGACTCTGTTGAGAAAGTACAGAGAAGATAGACAATCCACCTATCCATACATCCATTTTTACAGGAGAAAACCACAGAAATCATTCTCCCTCTTAAGACTGCTGACCTTGACAAAAATATTTGAGTCTCTGTCTGACTATATTTTGACCCCTCATATTAAAAACAACAGGAGAGAGACCTTTGCTTTGTTTGGTTGTTGTTGTGTTTGTCTTCATCTTTTTGTTTCATCATCGTATTTTATTAATCTAAGTTTAAACTATATGTTTGTCTAATGTTCAGTGAAGCAAATAGCAAATCTAATCAAGGTCGGGACAGACTATTTTTAGCTTTAAGAGATAAATCCAGTTAAAGTCTTCAACTTCAACTGACCGTTTTAAGTCATTTCTAGTCTGGCCCTTGCCTTCCTACTCAGCTCCGCTCAATTCTAGTTTCCCTTCACTGCTCCTTCTGGGACTTCTCCCATAGAGAAGGATTTCGCTGGCAGATTTTTAGCCGGGCCAATCAAAGAACAGAACGTCGATTTTCTGCGCAGAGTCTGCATGTAGTTTATTTTACCTGGGCCAATCAGCAAACAGAAGGAGGAGTTTTGAACGACGTCGATTTTCTGCGCAGTGTCTGCTAGTTAGTTTAGCATACGGCAGTGGAGGAAGTGAATGAAGCCAGTCTGTGATGATAAGGCTTCCAAATTAAAATAAATTTGTCTGACAAAGCAACAGCTCTCATTTACAGTCGTCTTGTCCGTCTCGGTATATTTCTCCTCTCAGTAGGGTTGTTTACAGCACACGCAATTTCCGGTTAGCTTCTTAGCTTAGCCTCCTTCACAGCGACTACACACACACTTCAGCAGAGGCCAGCAAGAATTGCTTCTCTATGCAGCATGTCCAGACCCTTGTATGAAGCAAAGTGAAGAACAGGGTCTGGTTTTTACCAGGCTAGGTCATTTAGGATTACCAACATTTTTTTCTATTTGCTAAATGCCAGAATAAAGAGAGAGAAAAAATTAAGTAATTTTATTACTTTCTTCAAAGTCTTAATTTTAAATACACTTCATTAGTATTTGGTACCATTGTCCTGTATGACATGGGTCAAATATTTTGGATCTACTTCAGCAAGGTTTTTACAATAGTTGGCAGGAATTTTGTCTAAACTTTCTGGGTTTTCCTGTCAGAGGAAGTACTAAATTGTACTTTTAGAGTTAAGAGAATTAGAAGTGGATGCCAGTAGACATTATTGCTATAAACAATTGTAGATTTTAGGCTTTCGTTCTCAAGTCTGTAATCCACAAAAATACAAAATGAATCAGCCCCAAAAATATTGACAAAATATGTAAATGAGGACACTACATCACATATACTTCTAAGTTTAAAATAATAAAATAAATTACTTTGATGTATTGAATTTTTTTTATAAAGGGTTGGTTTGAAATACACTGCTTTTATTAGATTTACCAGACACATTTGGTGTATTTGCACAAAGTATCAGTGTTGGATCAGTATCACCAACCTGAGTTTTACTCTGTATCAGAATTGGAAGAAAAATTAGTGGTACTGAACAACACTATTAGATAAAGAGTGATAAGATAGAGCAAAACTAAGAACCAGGTGATCCATTCACCACAAGCTATTCTGTGTTACTGTAAGGCCTTTGAGATGTCAACTGTAGGAACTAATACAAAGTAAAACAAACAAACAAACAAACAAAAACAAACACAAAAAACAACATTTGTACAAAACAAGCTGCAGCTACTAGTTGTAGAAAGTAACTTACTTGAGGGTCTTGTTGGAGTTGTTGATCCATTTTGTAGGCTCGGTTAAACAAAATTCCCACCTCAGATCAGAGGGCTGTTAGCGATCAGTAGTTATGAACAGAAGTGGTGAGAATGGGCAGCCCTGAAGGGTTCCGACTGCTGGCAATGCGAACCAAACTCTTGCATCGCATGTGTAGGGGCTGAATGTCCCATAACAATGGACACACACTAACATACTCACATAGCCCCCCCACTCCCAAAGTGTATTTGAGGAACACAGTCGAACACTTTCTCCAAGTTCACAAAACACATGTGGATTGGATGGGCAAACTCTCATGACCCCTCGAGGACCCTAGTGAGGGTAAAGAGCTGGTCCAGTGTTCCACGGCCAGGATGGAATCTGTACTGTTCCTCCTGAATCTGAGGTCCAACCACTGATCACCTTCTTAACCTCATTAAAATTAGAAACATCTTGTACAAAAATGATGCAAAACTCTTGAATACTGTAATTTTTTTTATTATCTGGGCATCCCAAAAAACTCTTTAAGAAGTCTTCAGTTAATCCAAAATGCTGCTGCTAGAGTTCTAATGAGAGTTGGAAGGAGAGATCATATTTCTCCAGTTTTAGCTTCTCTCCACTGGCTCCCTGTCAGATTCAGAATATTATTAAAAATATTACTCCTGACATACAAAGCTCTTAACAACCAAGCTCCATCATATATTAAACATATTATTGTTCCATACTTTCCTAACAGAGCACTTCATTCTCAGACTGCAGGTTTACTTGTGGTTCCTCGAGTTTCTAAAAGTAGAATGGGAGGCAGAGCTTTCAGTTATCAAGCTCCTCTCTTGTGGAACCAACTTCCAGTTTCTGTCCGTGAGGCTGACACTCTGTCTACTTTTAATATTAGACTGAAGACTTTCCTTTTTGATAAATTCTATAGACTTAGGTTTCCTGAGTTATTCCTTAGTTATGCTGCTGTAGGCTTAAACTGCTGGAGGACAAACTGACCACATTTCCTCACTTTGGTATTATGTTTGTTTTAATTATTTCTATCAGTAATATGTTTTCTTTGTCTCTTACAGGGGAAAATACACCAGGACCAGTCCTTCTGTGTCTCTTTCCTGTATCATAGCCACCTGCATCATACATACATAGAACATATTTTTATTTACTTATTTTTTGTATATTGAATGCTTACTTTATGTACTGTATTTTCCCTGGGCAGAAATTGCAAATGACTGGACTTGTTGGAGAAAACCACCACTCAACATACAGTATGTGTAAAGTAACTGTTGACCAACACATCTGAGGAAAAAGATATGTTTTACCTTAAAAGTGGGTTTGGAAACGAGGACAAGCAGCTCCTTGACTTCATCACTATTGCCTTGAACTAGCAGCTCTTCTTCCATCTGAAAGAAAAGCATACAAGTGCGTTGTTTCTTTTTTAACGGTGTTCAGTTCTAATGTATTCAGTGTGAGGTTTCTTTCTAAGATTTAGTGGAACTCTAATTCTGCCAAATTTTTGATGATACAGCGGGTAAAATATGTAAGTATTGAACAAGTCAACATTTTTCTCAGTAAATATATTACTAGAGGTGCTAATGACATGAAATTTTCACCAGATGTTGGAAATGAAGTTATTTGTAATAATGTGGAATGGCACAGGGAAAAAGTATTGAACACATGAAGAA